CAATTAACCACTTCTTGCCAATCCTCAAAGCAGCTCTTTTGGTGACAGTGAAGCTAATCCACTTAGGAAGGAAGTGGATTCCTGAAGCAGGAAAAAGAAATATCCCCAACATGTGAAAGTAAAATATATTTTAAAAAAACTAAAACCTATAATAAAATGAATATTATAAAAATACTTTCATTGTTACTATGAGCTGTTATCGTCTGAGTGATACTCAATATTTCCAAAGATTTTTAAATCAGAAAAGTGTATCAAAAGTAGTAAGAAAGGAAAAAAATTACAACAGTAATTAGTAATAGAGTATTAAAATGTGATTTAAAAAACAAAATCTTTCAATTGTGTCCTAATGTGCAAGAAAATTCCATAGAAACTTTACTTCCTGGACATGGCAGGAATTATCCTGCCTGGCTCCCACAGCCACACAGAAGTCAAACCAGGGCCAGTCATTTATATTCATTTATAAACTGATATAAATCAAACACATTTCCTCCTGTCCCTCAAGCAGGCACTGAAATCTCACCTGACCCTTCCTCCCCAACATTATTCAATTCCTTGGAATCCTGGGGAGCACAAACACTCTGTTCTCTCTGCCAGAGAGGAAAAGGAAAACCAGCTCCTGACACCTAGGGATTTTGCCATTTTTAACAGCCAGGTCACACCAAGACAGGTGAGAATTGCTTAAATCCCAAGGTAACACTCATTAATTAGAAAATTAATTGACATAACTTCATGTTCATCCATCCAAGGGATGATTTGAAACAAACACACAATACAGAATTCAGCAGGAATAGGTTCCATATTTTTTTGGTTTTGTTTGGGTGTTTTTTTAATCCTGATTTGATCCCATTAAGATTCCATTAATCTTTTTGCTCTTGTGTTTCCACCTCGTATTTTAATCTACTGCTCAGGAGTCTGATGAGATGTTTAGGCAACAGAACACATGGAGAGGTTTGCACAGCCATGCTGGACAACCTCACAGGGCCACAGTTCCCATCACCTTTAAAACAGGGATAAAAATCCATATTTATCTAATGCACTTCTAAGATCTACTGATGAGAACCCCATGCAAGAACTCCTGTCAGCTGTTACCCTCTCACTGAGTATGGCTGTGCTGGAATATTACCCTTCCTGACCTCTGAAAATAACATAAAATTGAAATGAAGCAGTAATTGTATGATTATAAAATGTCACTAACATCAGACAGTAAGAAAAGACAATTTAATTAAAGGAAGTTTGCTCTTCAAAGGAGGAAGAGTTCAGATTCATTCACAGATATTTACATATTTAATTTAGTTGTGCAAAGAAAAGATGAATGTACAGGTAGCTCTAGGGAAGAGTTCAGATTCATTCACAGACATTTCTGTATTTAATTCAGTTGTGCAAAGAGAAGATGAATATATAGGTTTTGTAGGGACAGATCTGCTCTGCTTCTCCACAACCCCCTGAAGGAGCAGCATCATTTCCACCAGTGCCAGAAAAACCTGAAACAACAGGTTTTTAATTCTTCCCCTTCAAATGCTGGGGACAAAAGTAGGACAGAAATGGATGGATGGATGGATGATGGATGGATGGATGATGGATGATGGATGGATGGATGGATGGATGGATGATGGATGGATGATGGATGATGGATGGATGGATGGATGGATGGATGGGGCTGTCTCTGACATCACCTGCAAACCAGATTTTGCAGACATCTCATTGTTTGGGAAGAGCTGATGGAAAATTTTTGCAGGGAACTGTGATGAAGTGGGACTCAGAGCCCCTGCTTTGCTGTTTGCCACCAGTGGAGGTGGCAGAAGTGACAAAAGCTGTTTGCCAAAGATTCTCTCACTACTGGAGAAGCCCAGAGTTCCAGAGGCTTCCCAGTGCCCTGCATTTACAGGCCAGGAGGGAAAAGCAGGTGCAGCTACACAAGATAAAACTATTTCTCCTGCTTTCCATCCCCAGTTCCAGCTGACACTTCAGTGCTGAGCAGCACAGAAATAACAGCACAGCCCAAAGTATCTCCTTAATAACTCCAATAAATCACAGGGATGACAAAACAAAACCAGGAACATCTTTAGGAGAGGACAACACCTGCAGCTGCCTTTGAGAAGAGATAATCCTTGTGGGCTCCTGGGCTCAGCTGACACATTCCCAGAGCATTCCCAGAGCATTCCCAGAGCAGTGGGACCTCCTGGCTCTTGCCTAGAGCTCCTGCCAAGGTCTGATCACAGCAGGTGTTGCCTGTTCATCAGTGCCAACAGCAGCACCTTCCATATGTGCAGCCTCAGCTCTGGTTGGGAGGGAAGTTAAACAGAGGAATCCAGGGATTCACCCCGTTTTATCCTGGAATGGGATGGGAGAAGCTGAAGGATATAGGAGGGTTTGTTTAGGGACATTAGCATTTTTTATCTCTACGAGCTCACTGAGTTACTGAGTTGTTTGGTTGTGCCTGGCAGCTTGCCTTCCACAACAGGGATTGAAACTATTATACTGAGAAATAGAGAAAATTACAGTATTTCAAACTCTGCTTATTTCTCTGAAAAAAAAAAAAAAAGAAAAAAAAAAAAAGAAAAAAACCTCTGGAGGCTTTTCTTTTTTTTTAAGCGCAGAATGACTAAGTTCCCTCTCTAGTAACTCTGCCTTTGCTTTTCAGTCTCTTACAGACATTTAAATGTCTGACAAATAGATTATAGACTACTTGTTTCAAGAGTTTGGGGGGGGGAAATGAAGCTCAAATCTGTAGTACTTTGAAAGACAAGCACAATATTTGGTCTGCACAGCTTGTGGCACCTATTAAAACCTTCATTAAAGCACCAGTGACAAACTGCTGCTGTCAGGGAGAAGTGATGCTGAGCACTCTGCAATACTTGATGGTACAGTTGCCCACACAGTCATCATGACCATGTTTTCATTCTGCTCTATACTGAAAAAATATAGGCACCTACCAGAACATTTTGATGTAAGTTAGGCTAGCTTTAGCTAAAAGAGCCCATCAAACATTTCCATGAAGGTGAGAATTACAGGTACACTCATCACCTGAGTGGAAATCCATCTGGAAATTACCAGTGGAAAAAGAGAGCAAATCTTTGAATAATTTCTCTCCACTTTTACATTACATAATATTCTGAATGCATTAAAGCTGTGCAAGTGCCACTCTGTATAATATAATTATTTTTATAAACTCCCTAACACAACAGTTGTTGTTTCAGGTTTTTCAATGTACAATATAGAAAAATTAATTTGAAACAAGCCTGTGCAGTATTCTGCATAGCAGCTACACAGAACTTAGAGCTCTACTCGATGGAGAGCTTCCTTCATTACCCACAAAAAACCAGCAAAGCCTTTTAATCTGAGTTTTTCGTTTCTTTGTGCTTCTCCCATTGAGGTTTAAGTCTGTTCCACACACTTCATAGGAGAGGGAGAGTTCTGTGAACAGACACCCAAAGCAACAGGTTGCTCTTGTTACCTTTCTGTTTCCCATGTTTACTTGTTGAAAAAAGGGTGTGATTCTTCTCTCTCTTCCCTAATAACTCACTAACTAATCTCAATATTTTTGGGAATGTATTTATTGTTGTCATAAAGCACATTTGCTCAGAAATCTCCTTGCAATCATAAAAATCAATACTAAGCTTATACTTCACTCTACAAAGCTCTATTTCACAGTTAATACTTATTAATTTTTCTTTATTGCTTCTACTATTTCATAAGCCCAAAACTTACTTGGTAGTGAGTGTAATTTTCCCTTTTTTCTCTAATAGTTTGAATATTATACCCCATTTTCCCTCCTCGGTTAATGAACCTTCAGCAACAAGAGAGGTAACAAATGCAAATACAGATTGTACATGCATTATATCACCACTTGCAAGTCACTAGAATCACTTGCTATTCAAGAGAAAATTCAGAATAAATACCAGCTTGCTCCTTCCACTTACAAAATAATGGAATTTTTCTACAATCAGTGGCAGTTGGGCAATGCCATTTTAACAACATCATGAAGTTCAGCCAACCCAGCCTGCCTGCCTTTCAGTGCAGTTATAACTAAAGAAAAGCTGGAGATGATGTGGTGCTGTCCCATACCTGACAGCACTGGCTGGATTCCTGCTCGTCTAAGTGGAACATCCTGTAAATGTATGGCTTCCAAAATTTAATAATTAAACCCCCACCACCTGGTTACAAAAATTAAAGTCTCATCACTGCTAAGGCAGATCATTTCCCCACAAGTGAAAAGGGATGAATAAGATTCACACCACATCAAACACGATGACAAACGTATCAGCACTCCACCTGCATCTAACAATCAAAAAAAATCTAACAATTTTATTAAGCTGAGCTTATAAAACCTAGTTTGTGATATAGATCAAAAAAATAATTAAGTCATGCACTATAACTGCTGGAACTTTTATTTCTGCATCCCCACACTTGCATTCCAGACTCTAATACTTTACCTGAAAAATTCCAGTTTGTGAGTAAAATTGAGGGTTCGCCTTATGAAGAAGAAATTTATAATTGTGGGGAAAAAAGCCTTGTCTAAATCAGGTACAGAGGAGGCATTATTTAATCCAAAATCCCAGAGTCTGGGGGCTGTGGGAGAATGCAGAATTCTGCCAGAGGTACCTGTTGGCAGAGGTGCCAACTCCTCCTGCACCGCTTCTGTGCTGGGATTCAGCACCTCCTCACACAACCCGCCAGCAGTGCCCTCCAAAACAGGTTTGTCACATTCCCTGATCCCACATTTCACATAACACAACAAAAAGACATATCAGATTGATCTTCCTAGCTGAGGGAATCTCTCCTTAAACAATGTAAAATCATCATTATGTAGAAAAAAATCCCAGGTAGTAGTGTGGTAAAGTGAACAGAGCACTCCTGCGTCCATGGCTGGCATCACCAAGCCAAAATTCAAGATTGTCTTTACCAATAAAAGTGAATTCTTCAAGAATTTTCCAGAATTTCTAGGAAGTTACAACAGTAGTTTTTTTTTCATTTGAGGAAAAGGAAAAGAAACAACTTACAGTTGTCTTGTAAAAACGAGCGAGTGCTTCATAAACAGGGTTCTGAGTCACATAACCAGCTGGGTCTTCTCGTGTTGGCTAATCAATCTTGATTTCAAAACTGGAAGAAAGAAAGAAGATAATTAGACTTGACAAACCCCAGAGAATTTAGCAAATTAATAGAACAAACAAGGATTGATCTAAAGGATACCCCACAGGAGAAACAGATCCAAGAGCAAACATCCAGTGTCATAAATAGTTAGGGACATTTTGCAGTAAAATAAAGTGATTAAAAGGTTCTGACTGTGACCAAAGATGTGAATTAAAAACTCGACAACACAGGCCTCAGTCCCAATGATACCTCTTCTTTCCCATTTATCAGAGCTGTAGCCCTCTGGCCTCTCATATTTATAAATAAATGTGATTTTTAATGTTTTTGGAGACTGAAAACTCAGTGTGTGTGTGTCTGTGTGAGAGGGAAAGGCTGGCAGAGAGGGCAGGAACAGAGGGGACACATTCCCCTGGTTTTCCTTGCATGACATAAGAACTTGTAAGGGAATAATTGAGAGGCCTTAAGGCCAGCACAGCGATGTCATCGTGAACTTTGTGTCTGGTTCCATGAGATGCTCAGGAGGGTGCAGGCAATGACAGCAGCTCTGCAAGGAGAGGCCCTCCTTGGACGGGCTGCAAGTGTTCCATGGGAACACATCCCCACTGCACCGTAGGACAGACAAAAAGAAATCCATTTCCCATGTTTTGGTATCAAAAGGGAGCTGCTGTGCTCCAGCACGATGCCATTTTTGACCCAAGGCACAGAATTCCATTTGGTTCCTCTCGTGTCAAACCACAGCATATGGCAGAGCCGGAGGGGACACTCCTGGGAGAGCAAACAGCCACTTCTGACTTGTAAGTTCCAGCTAATGATCAATTCATCACACCCCTCAGTAAATCATGTTTGGATTCAGCTTGCAAAAGCTGGATTGTTTAAGGCCCTTTGAACACCATGTGAAAACATCTTTCATTATAAATGAGGATTTCCCTGCAGACACCAGTAAGACCACATCTGCTTCATCTCAGATTAGCAGAAAGGAGTGAGCTTCCCCATGCTCCTGCCACTAAGTGTCAGGTTTTGCATGTCATGGGCTTTATTCAGTCTCCACCTTGTGCCCAAATGAACATTTAAACTATCCAAACACATTTCAGTTCCGTATTGCTGGCATTTGTAGGAATTGTTTTAGGTATAGCAACATCCCTCAAATATTCTTATATAACTTAGGTCAGTTCAGCTTGTATCATTTATCTGGGACTTCCAGGACAGGGACACCATTCCTTCATAAACTACATTTCAAATGTATTGTGAAGGGTCATGCATAACACAGTGCTCCAGGAGCACACATCATCTCCAGACGTCCCTCGTGTCTGTGGAAGTCAGTGGGGGCTGGGGGGTGAAAAGATGGACCAGCCATGGGGAGAAGGACTTGGAAGTGCTGGTGGATGAGAGGCTGGACATGCCCCAGCTATGTGCTGGGATCCCAAATCTCCCTGGGCTGAGCCCCAGCGTGGGCAGCAGGGGAGGGATTGGGATTGTGTCCCTCTGTCTGTCCTGTGCCCAGGTGAGACCCCACCTGCAGAGCTGACCCAGCCCTGGGCCAGCACAGGCAGCACCTGCAGCTGCTGGAGGCACCAGAGGAGGCTCCAGGGGGAGCAGAGGGATGGAGCAGCTCTGCTGGGAGAGCTGGGATTGTTCAGCCTGGAAAAGAGAAGTTTTGGGGTGCCCAAATCGTGGCCTTGCAGTGCCTGAAGGGGCTGCAGGAAACGTGGAGAGAGATTCTTTACAAGAACCTGGAGTGACAGGACACAGGGAATGACTCCCATTGCCAGAGGGTGGGGATAGATGAGATATTAGGAAAAAAATCCTTCCCTATGAGGGTGGGCAGGCCCTGGCACAGGTGCCCAGAGCAGCTGTGGCTGCCCCTGGATCCCTGGCAGTGCCCAAGGCCAGGCTGGACAGGGCTTGGAGCACCTGGGACAGTGGGAGGTGTCCCTGCCATGGCAGGGGGTGGAATGAGATGATCTTTAAGGTCCCTCCCAAGCCAAGCCACCCTCTGATGTGACTCTGTGATGTTTAATGGCAAGGGATGTGCAGCCTCACACTGCCCTGACACAGGGCACTGGCAGTGAAGGAAGAACACTCTGAACCTGCCTGATAAAAACAGGAGCCCATGTAGGATCCAGTCTGAAATCCCAGCCCCAAGACCCTGTCCACCAAAGAAAATATGACTTCTGGAACAGGTTCCTAACCAAATATTTATTATCAGGCTGTACCACCAGGTGGCAAGATTGCAAAATAAAGGAATTTTTAATATTCCTATATCCCACTCAGTCAGGGCTGCTTCAAGGACCCCTTGCTGGGCCATGGCAATTGTTTTGGGAGGGCTTGGGTGAGTATTTAACACGTGCCCACATGGGGCTGCAAAATAAAGTATTTTAACTTTTAATTTTATTTTAACTTTTCTCTGCCACTCTTGATGTAGCCAACAGTCAAGGGCAATGCGAGATTCCCAGTACATGAAAAAGGAAATTGTGGCCACCAGCTGCACAGCTTTGAAGAACTTGGTTTTGCCACTGTTTTCATCCTGCTCCTTCTTTCCCTGATAACCAGTTTAACCTTTCCAAAAGAGCCTAAAACCTGACATGTCTGCAGGGAACCACACAATAAATGGGAATACAACTCAAAAAGATTAATAAAATTACTTTGCAAAGGGAGAGTAAAGACTTTACACAGAGTATACTTAAAATCATTTGGGTAATTTTTTTTCCCATATATTTTGATTTCTCAGCTGCTATCCCAATTATCTATAAACCAAGACACAGGGCAGCTCTAAGTTCTACACTCAAGGTGTAGGCCATGGATATATGAGCTCAGCAGTTTAAAGGGCTGACTTTTATAATACATTATTTTACAGCCCATTTGAATTCAAAATTTAGGAAAAATATAAATCTCCAGTAATAACTTGGAAAACTCTCTCTCTAATGTCTCACCCCTTGATCACAAAGGACACCATGTGAGCATCCAGTCCACATGATGTGATTTATTTACACCTGTACACACACAGATAGACATTTGGCTAAATAACAGGATATAAAATATTAGTAAAGCAAATACTGGTAACCAGACCAAGCTGGTGAGAAACTCTACCTGACCCAGAGATATGCAGCACAAAAACCACAATGATTCCAGAAATAGATTAGGGACTTTTTCCCTTCCATTTGTAGCATTGCACCTGCTCCATAACACACAGCTACACTTCACAGATGCTTAAAATATTGTCATTATCCCTGGAGCTAGAAGAAATTAGGTAGGTGTAAAATAATCAGAATGTCAAGCACATTAAATGTCAAGCATAAATAAGAACCAAAATTGGAATCTCTCAAAGATGCTGGTACTCCCACAGTTGGGCAAAAAGCGTTAACTTCAATAACTGCCACCATTTGGGACTTGTATTATTACACAAACCACAAAATTCTCTGCCTTAATGACATCAGCTTGAAAGATGATTTGGCAATAGAAAGTAGAAATAAATGTTATCCAAAACATCCAGAAAACTTCCTGCCCCAAAATAGATTTTTATTTGAGACTCCTCAATTCAAACACTCCAGGGTATTGAAATTTAAAAGAGAAATAAAAAATCCAAAGGACTTTGAAGGAGAAGGGATGAGTAATACACAAGCCTGTGTTACATGAGATGGCACCAAAAATATAAACTGCAAAATAAACTGCCGAGTTATGTTCCCTCAACCAATAAAACAAATAACTTGTTCAATCAACTTTTAGTTCCATAATCTAATCATCATGAAAATTAAAATCAAGCACTCTTTCCCCAGTGAATATATACTAACTAAATATTTTAAATTGAAGATACCTAAAAACTAAATTAGATTGAAACCCTTTCAAGAGAGATTTGCTTTCATCTAAGTTCTTACCATCCCAGCAGAAAGTCCAGAAATCTAAACTGTAGTTAACTAAAATTAAAGCTTCAAAAAAAAATATATTAAAGCACAAAATAAAGCACAAAGCACATTATGCCATACTTAAGAAGTAACACTTATTCTGAAATGTCCAGTGAAATTCACACAAGTGAATTGGTTTTTTTTGGTCTGGAATTTCTGGAATTGGTTCTTTCCCCGTTACCTATTAAACTTTCTATTTGAACTGCACAGCCAAAGCAGATTTACAGGAGATTCAGAGCTTGGGAATGGCTTTGTTTTGAGGGCTTCAGCTGGGAAATTCCCTGTGGCCCTGGAGAAACCATGACTCCATCACGGAGATGTTTGCGTGGCCAGAACCCGCCACAAACACGGAGCACTTACATGTTCGTGTGGAAGAGATTCATACTCTTGGACAGAGGCAGGACTGAAACTTTTCTCATCCCTGCTCATCCTTTGAGCCACGGGGCAAGTGCTCTTCTCTTTCTGGGAAGAGCTGGAACAGAATCAGTGGTCTGCCAAGAGGATCAAGAGGAACAGGGCTGAGGTCACCAGAGCCTTTGGCCAGAGCAATCTGTCGGCCCAGGGGAACAACGACACTGATCTGATTTGCAGCAGTCGAGCACCAAGGTTAGCACATCTCCTCGGGACCGTGCTCCCCAGGAGGAAAAACACTCCAGGGAGCTGAGGTTTAGAACCCCAATCTTCCTTCAAAGCTCCAGAAAACCCCGCACACGTCACGCCTCCACCAGCGAGAGCTGTGCCGTGTTTCAGGTTTCCAGAGCACGAGAGAAAAGGCTCAGACTCACAAACTTATCCAATTTTACAATGCATTGATAGAATTAGGGCAAGACAGATTTACTCCCCTGCTTTAAGGAATGAAGGCTCTCTGGACTGTTTAGGACTTGCTAACATGCAGTGCAAGGATTACCGTGCCAGCTTAAGCCTATGCTTCAAATCCGAAACTAACAAGAAAATACAAAGTATAAAGGTATTAATAACTGGAGTTTAAATTACATTAAAGGCTTTGTTGGCTTTCTTCCTTGCTTTATGAAATAGTAAGAAAATTTAAAAAAAAATCCAAAATTTTATATGTAAAATGGG